TTGGAAATTTTGGAAATTTTGGAAATTTTTAGAAATTTTGGAAATTTTGGAAATTTTGGAAATCCGGAAAGTTAGGGGAGAGAATTTTGGAAATTTTGGAAATGCTGGAATCTGCTCTATATATGACTCAAGTAAGATTACTGTGTAGTGCTTTTAACACTAACGTTGACATGTATATTAATGCTTTCATTTCGAATATGCACATTACTAATTCTATTATTAACATTAATACTCCTACGCCTACCAATAGTCATATTCATATTGATATTAATGCCAATACTAACAGACACCTGCGTATATTAATGTCCGCAGATATACATACCACTATCTGAAAAGCAAATATATCAATGCATTCGTGTACTAACGTAGTATATTCGTATTTAATTTGTCATATACCCAGTTTCCAACGTGACAATATACTACTTGTTAACGTCTGATTATACTGTATTGATATGCTAACTTGCTAAGACACGAATACTGTAATATGCAAGTACACTGACACATGGCAATGGTATACTAACATATGGATATACCAAAAAAGTTGTTAGATAATATACGAATATGATAAATGAAGTAGCATACCAGGATACTCATACACTAATATGTTAATAATCGAAGATAATAGCACACCAATATACTAATGTACTCATGCACGAACGTACGCATGCATTAATATACTAAGAGCATACAAACATACAGGTATACAAACATATTACTGTTCGAATACATTATAATGTGTTGGTATACTAAGCTGTTTATATAATCTATCAGTATACTAATATATCAAAACTAATTATAGTATTGATACGCATACTAGCACGTCCGCGAATATTACACTGATGTTAAATTCATCATTAAGACTGATTAAAACTGACATCGACATTGGCACTGGCATTAACACTAATTATCACTAAATATGCTAGTGTACTAATATACGAATACTGTAAAAGGCAAGTACACTGACATGTTCACATGCCATTATGCCAACATATTGATATACCTATAAGCTATTAGGGAAAATACGAATATAGTAAATGTAGTAATAGACCACTATAATAATATACTAATATACTACTACGTTAACATACGAATATCATGATACACCAATATACTAATGTACTCATGCACCAACGTACTAATATATTCGCGCAATCTTCAACTCTGCAAATATACTATTGTTCGAATACATTACTGTATTATTATATTAAGCTCAAAATGTACGAATCAATCAGTATATTCACATATCAAAACTATTTCTAATACTGATACTAATACCAGCACTTCTGTGAATAATAAACAGATACTAAAACCAGCATTCAGACTGATACTAATACTAACACGAGTACTATTACTGACATTGACATCGACACTGGCACTAACACCAGCACGAACATAATCACGAGTTCATATTTACTATTATTGATATGTATACTTTTATTCAATACTAATACTAATACTGATGCTAATACTAATACTAAATACCAATACCAATACTAGTACTAAAGCAATACCCATCCTAATATCAATACTACCACAAAACTATTACTCATATGAACACTGATACCAGGATTAGGACTACTACAAACAATGACAGCAGTACTAAGAATAGAACCAAGAACAATACATATTAATCCTAACACTAATACTAGTACTAATACTAGCTACTAATTCTAATACTCATACTCATACCAATACTAATGTCACCACTACTGCTGCTACTACTACTGCTACTACTACGACTACTACTACTACTACTACTACTACTACTACTACTACTAGTACACATACTTAATACTAAAACTAATACTGATACTCATACTAGTCACTAATACTAATACTAATACTCATTCTAATACTAATACCAATACCAATACTAATGCTACCACTACTACTGCTGTGCGACAACTATTGCTAGTACGACGACCACTACTATTAACATCAATTCACATACTTAACTTCACCCCTCTTGGCCACTTTTTTGCTTTCTTGCTTTTTTGCGGGTTTTGGTGGGTATATATAATACTACAGTGGGCTTGCATTTGTATAGGATGCTACAATACTAAATGCCTACCCTATCAATTAAACCCTAAACCCTAAACCCTAAACCCTAAACCGTGGAACCCTAACGAAGCTGCTGCCGTCCTGGGACGATCGCCACTGATCTAGCCGGGGGGCTCAGGGCGGGCTGGTTTTTGGATTTAGAGATTGTGGGGTGAATCTTTTTACCCTAATTCCTAATTTACTGAAAACCTAGAAACCTAAATCCTAAACCTAATTAAGCTTGATAGTAGTCAGTAGTATCAACAAAGCGCCGAAAGGCGATAATCATGCCCCGAACGGCGATAATGCGCCGAAAGGCGATAAGGCGCCGAAAGGCGGTAGTGCGCAGAAATGCGATAATGCACCGGATACACTAGTAGACTTAGATTAGGCTTTAGGGTTTCGGCTCTAGGGTTTGAGTTGTAGAGTTTAGGCTTTAGGGTTGGATATTAGGGTTTAGCCTTTAGGGTTTAAGGTTTGTGGATAGGATATTAAGGGTTAGGGGTTCTTCAGGCCTTGGCATCCTGGGGTGTCTGTAGTCATATTTCTCTCCGGGGGGTATTCTTCCAAAATCCTAAAACCTTAACCCAAAATTCTAAAAGGAAGTAGGGCTCAGATTCCCACGGATTACCGCCTGTAAACCCTTGGCCTGGGCCCCAAACTTCCTAACCCATACTCACTCTCTCGCTCTCTCTCTCTATCCCTCTCTCTCTCTCTCTTTCTCTCTCTCTCTCTCTCTCTCTCTCTCTCTCTCTCTCTCTCTCTCTCTCTCTCTCTCTCTCTCTCTCTCTCTCTCTCTCTCTCTCTCTCTCTCTCTCTCTCTCTCTCTCTCTCTCTCTCTCTGTCTCTCACTCTCTCTTTCTCTCTTTCACTCACAATATATATGTATATATAATATAAATATAAATATACAAATATAAATATGTAAATATAAATATACATATAAATATAAATACATATAGAAATAAACAATCAAATAATATATATATATATATATATATATATATGCATTTCATGACTATCGCCTGTCGGCACTCTGTCGGTGCTTAATACTTAAACCCTATGTATATGTATATGTATATATATATATATACATATGCATATATGCATATATGCATATATGCATATGTATATATATATATGTGTGTATGTATACATATACATATTTTATAGCCTAAAGCCCTACAGGATAAACCCTAAGCTGTAAATGCAAACCCTAAAATCTAAACCCTAAAGCCTAAACCCTAAACCCTAAACTATCACCCTACTACAGCCTGAACTTTCTGAGGTCTGGTGCTTTCTTCAGGATGCATCGCGATCTCATCCATGTCGCAGGCGCCGGACAATTTGTGGCACTTTTGGCATCTTTCAGTGCACAGCAGGCTTTGGAGCCTGCTTGTTGCAATATGAATGTCATGATGCCCACCCTGCTGCCCATCCCGACTGTTCTGACTTGGTTGGAGGCTTGGACAAGCGAAGGAGCCGAGGGAGGCCACTTGGGTATTTAGGTGGCTGAGTCAAAGGGGATTAGGGTTCGCGGCAAGGCGCTAGTGGGTGGGTTTTCATTAGGTTCGCCAGGGCTGTAGTTTTTAGTGGTCTATCGCCGCAAGGTGCTAGTGGTTGTGGGTTGATGTTCGCTGCAAAGTGCTAGTGGGTTTTTCGCTGCAAAGTGCTAGTGGGTTGTTCGCTGCAAAGCGGTAGTGGGTTGTTCGCTGCAAAGCGGTAGTGTGTAGTTCGCCGCAATGCGCTATTGTGTTACTGTTGAGATATTTTTTAGATCGGGTTTAGTGTCTATGGATTTGGGATATGGGCTCCAGGGTTAATTAACATTCAGGATTTAGGCAAACCCGAACCCGAAACCCTGATAAATCCTATGTATGTGAGTGATGGGTTCGAATGGGGATGCAAGGTTGCTTGGCATGGGGTGAATGGGGTCTGCCGGCTTTGGGTGGTTTGGGTTTGGGATCCTGATTGTTTTGGTCTGCAGAATGATAAACAAGAGCCATGCAGGTGTTGGGCACCCAGATAGTGGGTTCGCCGAAAGGCGCTAGTGATAGCGGACTCTCTGGATCGAATATTCCCCCAAACAGCGCCCAAACCTCAAATCCCTTGGATCTTCAACCACATTATACTCTGAGATTCCCTGGACGAATCTGCTGCAGACGAGCAATCATGTAATGAGAAATCCTCCACCCCCAGCCAGCACGTTCGATAGATGCGGGGCTCCAAACCCTAAACTCTTAAACCCTAGGCCCTAAACTCTAAACTCCAAACCCCTGAACCCTAAACCCGCGACACTCAGGCCCGGCTTCATCTTCGACGATCTTCGCCGGTCCGGGTGCACATGGCAGGACTCCTGCTGCACTCCTGCTGCATGAGTGATTGCAAGCTAGGGCTGCCTCTCACTTGTGACCGCATTGCAATCTGCTGCAACCTGTGGCTCCGTGTCTGTGTGTGTGTGATGGGCCTCTAGCTCGGGATTTACGGGTTCGAAGTAAGGGCCCTTCTGATATATAATATATCAGGGTTCTGCAAGAAGGGTCCCAAATTGAGGGCCAGGCCCATACCTTCAGGAGTTCAGCTATTTTATCTTCACATTGACTGATTCCTTATAGCCCCGGCGACTCCAACCCAGACCCCTTCCAGGAAGTACAGGGCATTAGGGCCTGGGTGGCTCGATGAAGCCTCATGGCGTCGCTCCTCGGGACTGGTTTGGGCAGCGGGGGCAAGGCCGTGTCCAGAGGCGTGCTCGTGGAGAGTACGGCCCGGTGAATCCGCCACAGGTGGTAGCCAGTTTGCAATTGGCAGCCTGATTAATTTGTCTTAATAAGTAAGGGTAATATGTCTTGCCCTGCTCTATTGTCCAACAATGCTCCTGCAGATCCCAGCTCGTCCGCCGGCGCCTGCATCTGGAGCTCGGATTCCTGCTGATACTGCTCCTGCTGCCACCACTGCTGCTCATGCATCTTCTGGAGCTCCGCTCTGCTGGTGTTGCCGCCGCTTCTGCTAATGCATCTGTTCTAGCGGATTCATCGCGTGGCACGGTGCCTTGACGAGAGTGGCTAGCAGCAGCTTTTGTGTTGGGTTCCCTACGGATTTTGCTTCTGGAATGGCTAGGTCTTCTTCGGGTTCGATTCGATCGGGCTCTATTTTGCTGGCTGAAGTAGTCAATCCAGGAGTCTCCAGCCCCGGCGGGCTCAGCTGCGCAGGCTGCAGAGAGTGCGTCTTCGGCCGACCCAGGAGGTCCCGGTCTTCAAAACGTAGCATACTCGCTATCACGGGTTACAAGGTAGGGGGTAGGGTTCTGGGGCTTGCGATTACAGTCTTATCCCAAGGATTAAGCAATAAGGATTTAAAGTAGAGTTCAAAGAACTCTGTCGCAGGCTCTGCTGAAGCTCGTGTCGGCGTGTGCACTCCGCCGACGACGATTGCACCTTCTTCCAATGAGTCCCAGATCGAGGAAGAGGGGGCGCCGGCGGCGGTGGAGCGGGAGCCTTCTGCAGCTTCTGCTCCTTCTGCACCTTCTGCTGCACCTGCGCCGCCGTTTGATGATGCTGCTGGGGGCTGGCCCTTTGAGAAGCTGGCGGACATCCGTGCCAGTGACTCTGGGCTTACAGGTTCATTCCTTTCCCACCGACCCTGATTCAACAGACGCCCCCCTGCCCACCATACCGTTCTGCAACAAAGCAGCTTCAGACAGGGTAGTATAATTATATATCAACTAAATCTTTACTGTGCATCGACCCGGATCCCAATCAAACCTCCCAGGAGCAGCTGCCGTTTGGGTGGACAAAAGTCAAGCTGGAGGATGATCGGATGTATTACTTCAACTCCAAGGCCAAAGTCTGCTGCTGGCACATGCCTCAAGTGATGTCTGATTCTGGGATTCCAGTATCATCCATTTTGGTTGTCGCAGTGCAAAGGGGTTGAAGTTTGTTTGAGAGTTGGGTCGGTCTTCGGGGCTTCGGATCTTACTTAGGTGCCCGATGCGGAGCCTCTGCCGGAAGGGTTTGAACCCTGGGAGCTGTGGGATGTCTGGGGAAGCAACAGATCGCAGCGTGTGTGGTTCAATCCTTCTTCTGGCTCTGTGGCGAACTTCGAGGTCTTCGAGACTGGGCTAGAGTGATATGAAAGCTTTTGACGAGCTTTTTAAAGTAAGGTAGGGCATCGATTTCGGAGGGGACTCGGTTTGTTGGTCATGAGCCTTTTTCTCCATCCGAGAAGCAGTACTACGAGACCAAGAAGCCGAAATGGAGAGGGCCCGTGAGGAGCGGCGACGGCTCGAGCAGGCGGAACGTGATGAAGCGGCCGCTGAAGCTCTTTCTAAGAGGCGGAGGCGGAAGAGGTAAGAGCTAGTGAACATAAGTTTGACTCAGACTGAAGATGAAGTCCTCGTCGTATCCTATGAAAGGGCATCAACACACTAGCGGCACTAGCGTGCCATAATAGGCTTCTGGATTTCCTCTTCCGGTGGAAGGCTGTAGCCGCTGGCGATGCACGGAAGAAGCACCCCGCGGCCCACCACAACACTGCAAAATATCGCTCCTTGTCTCTCTATATAGATGGATAGATAGATAGATAGATAGAAACACTAGCCTGGGCTTAAATGCTTCGTCCGTCAAGCTCCTTTTGCTGCCGTCTGCTCTTGCGTGAAAAAAAACGCTTCACTTGCAGCGCTTCAGTTGGAGCCGATTGGAAGTCTGTTGGCAGTTGTGTGGCTTTGGGGTAGGTCAGCCGTGCTGAGTGCAGACTGTCTTGGGCGGAGGGGTTTGCTGAGTGCACCCATTGAACATCTCGATTTGCAGGACAAGCCCTGCAATCTTCATGGAAGCTCCCGGCTCAGTGAGTGTCATGTCCACGATCAGTGTTGCAGCCGTGCTGGCTTTGGCAAGACTGCAACCACACTCCATGTCACGTGGTGCCTTCGTCTGGGTATTCTGCTGAAGATTCTAACCCCTTATCTTGCACAACCTCGTACCCGCAAGGCATGCAAGAGTTGCCACGAACATGCCCAGGTCTGGCCTCGTCGGTTGCTCCGGAGTCGGGGCCCCGACTAAAGCATGTTGCAGCGGATGGAGAGATAACCTATTTTTCCAGTCAAGTGTCAATTAGAGCCTGAATCAGTGTGAGCTGCGTGTTGAAGTTGTGATCGTGCTGCCTTGAAGCTGTTCTGAAAGTTGCCATTGTCAAGTGTACTGAATGCCCCATTGGCTCTAGTCCTTAATCGCTGGTGTGTCAGCGACTGCACCAGGTCCGCGCACAGTGCCTGAGCTACGAGCCTTCAAGCGTGGATGGCCTGGGCCTTGTCGTCCGATCGGCTCCAATTTCTTCGGTGTTTAGTTTCAGGGTAACCGTGGGTTGAATAGACTAGAGATAATAAGCGGTAGGTTGAATGGGGATTTCTTAGGAGTTTAGGTTCAAAACTTCCCTTCTTCCTTTGCCCCATCAAGAGAGTACCAAAATACCTTAAGTGGGGAGCCTAGCACCTAGCAGCAGCCCTAGAGGCTCTTGTCTCCTGCCCTCTTGTTTGGGTGCTTGACCGTTAGCTCTCTGTGTGAAGCTTCCAGTAGACTCGGCATCAACATTAATTTATTTTGTTTTCACTTCTCTTTGATCCCAGCATGCCATATACTCGGTTGCGGGCTCCTGATGCTGCTTGACCCTGGCACTCACTTCTTGCAATATGAGGCCGTGTCTTCGCTCAAGTGTGCTGCTTGCGTCGCCCGTTGCTGTCAGCCCTGAGCCATCATGTCCTCGTGGTTTGTGGCTATTCGACAGAGTCAGTGGGACGTCCTTTGGATGGATCTTGAGTTTATGGAGCTTGAAGATGTCAAGATCCAGGGGCCCGTCATGACGGCTAGTCCCCAGCAGGCAGTGTTCGCAACTCGAACAGATTGTGTAAGAGTATTCTTTTTGGTCATTGGCCGAGAACCCGAGGCTTTATTTGGGCTGGGTGTCCAGTCCTTTGAATTGAGGGATCAAGATGGTTTGAATTTACGATTCCTTTCTGAAGTTGACCTTCTTGCAATATTCGTGAGATCTGAGGAGGCTCTTTTCTCCGAGGGCAGACGTCTCAAGCTCAACATCTCCCAGGCTCACGATCGTGCGGTGACCATGGCGGGCCACGTGAGCAAAGAGCTTCCGAAACACTTCGTCCTCTTGCACATCACAATCAGAACAACCGCGGCAATGACTGCCTTTCCGGAGTCCAAGTCTGGCCGCATTTTGCTAGGTGCTCTGCATTTTGGAGTGGATGATCGCAATGGCCCTGCCAACCTTCGTGGTCACTTCGGGTTGCAGTCCTCGAATTGGGATGTGTGCATCATGCCTCATGAGTTGGCGTGTGGTGTCAGCCCCGTGTGCTATGCCTTGAATGGCTCCCTGGGAGAGGTCACGCATTGGAGGTTCATCGTGGTCATGGAGACCCCGCCTGATGTGACCGCTGTGGCCAAGAATCCGACCGTGTCCGAAGTTCCGCACGGGGTGCTTGGCATTGGCATGAATTAGGTTCTGGTTGTTGTGGGTTCAACATAGTTTAAGGCATTCAGTGCCACCATCTTTTCAGGACCCTGCAACCTGGATAGCGCAGTATGTGCACAAGAACACTTTGGACAACAAAAAGATTCCGGTGACACACAGCTTGGTCCTCTTCACGTCCGCGATGGATGCAGTCCTGGTGCACAACCTTTACAAGAAGGCCATGCTGGTGGCCCATTTGGTGGAGCTTACTGTTCCGGCAAATGTGCTCCGAGACAACGAGGACTTCTAGTTTTCAAACACTTGATTAGCCAGTCCAAAGCAAGAGCCTCCGTCCCCAGCAACAGTAGAGGAGTTCTCTGTGCGTTGGGTATCCGGCTCCGATGCTCTGTGCACTTATTGGCTCCTGACGACAAAGTCTCCGGCTGACAATTTGGTTGCGAATGTGAGCAAAGCCTACACCTGGTTGTGTGGCCAGTCGAAGGCCTTCATGCTCTCCCGTGGCAACCTGGAGGTGACTGCAGACGGCAGCTCGAGGGCCTTGAATCAGATTCTGCAGTCATTGCACAGCAGCAGGTGCAGCTAGGGCGGGGGTTCCACAGTCCAGGGGTTGAACAATGCAAGCCATCTTGTTTAGTCGAAGTCTGCACGTGCAGAAGTAGCAGCGAGCTCGCCGCAAGGCGCAGTAAGCGTGCCAAGTCCTTGCGAAGCCAGCTCCGTGACATCAAGGCTGAGCTGGACGGCCTGAGCTATCCCGGCCTCAGGGTCGAGCGATTCGACCGCCTGACTGTCGTCATAGTTTTCTCCGCGTGCATCGATTTGTCTCAGCATGTGGCTGGCATGTGCAGCAGATTTTGGAAGACAGCCCTGCGGCTTCATCGGTGCAACTTTTCATGTTTCGGTCAAGAGACAGAGCCGACTGAGCTCAGAGCGACAAAAGAAGTCGGATTCACTCTGTTGATGTTTCCACATGAAGTACTAGTGTTTGTGTGGGCGGGCGATCCGGTGGATGTGGGTCCATCTCCGTGTCTGAGACATTATTGCTAAATAAATGGAAGCAAGGTCCTGAGACGGCGGCTGGCCCCTGGCACTTCTGCGCTTCGTGGCATAGGCGCCAAGTCAGCTTTTCGGAGTCCTAGCCGCCCGGAGACTCAAAGGTGCCCTGAGTTAGCATTGCAGCCGCTTCCAATGTGCAAATTGGCGGTATGTGTAGAGAGTGTTCCATGGTTGTTGGAGGCAGGCCTGCTTTCTCTTCCGTCTATTCTTGCGGTCGCGGTCGCATGCTTGAGCCCCGAATCCCTAGACTCGTTTGTGTATTCGTTTGGCTGGGCTGGAAAGAACGTCCTTCAAATTAGGAGTTTAGCATGAATGTTGTGATGAGCATAGTTAACAGTGCATTCAGTGTCCGTGCACACTGCGTGCAGGATGTGTAACGATGCGGCCTGCCGGCTCCTCAGCCAGATGGGCCAGCTGGGCTTCACAATCCACGGTTGCCACCTGTAAGCCGGAACATTCAAAGGGTCGGGTTTGGTCGAATGCCTTGGCCTGGTGTTAGATCTGATTGCCTCAGCCGTGTGTGGTGCATTCACACATGTTCCTTCTGACAATCTGTCTCTGACATGATGTTTTCGCAGTTTTGTTGCCTGCAGCTTGGATTAGGCTGATGCACAGAATGAGTTCCCAACATTTGTTTGGCATGTTATGCATGTCACAGGCATGACAGTCTCGGCAATTTGTTGATTTACTGCATTCGTCTACGATTTTAATTGCCAGCCTTCTTGGTGGTACTGACAAAGGGCGATCGTGCTGGCACCAAGCACTGGTGATGGCTCCCAAGGGCAATCGTGCGAACTCCAAGCGCACTTTGAAGCGGCCTGCTGCCGCGAAGACTCGGGCTCGTCCAGAGCCTGTTCTCCCGAATATCACGGAGGAGAATTTTTGCTTGAAGACCTTCATCTCAGATCTCTGGCGGGCCCTTAATATCCGAAAGACGGATGAGACATCATGGTCCGTTCTCGAGGTTGCTACGTCCGGCAGTGGCGTGTGGACAACGATCCATTGCTTGTGGATGATGTTGGGCAAGGCTTGGGTTCGGGAGCTCTATGCCCTCGAACAGGATGCAGTTGCAGCCCAGTTCTTGATGACAAACTTCGCTCCGCTTCATGTCTTCCAGGGCTTTGTTGCACAAACCGCATGGCACAGTCCCGGGTTAAACTTCTGTAAGATTCTAAGATAAGAAGATTTCGCAGGAGGGTGTCCAGAATGACCGCAGCATGTGGTGTTGGACGCATGGCTGCAAGTGTGCGGTGCCGGAGGGAGAGATGCTGTTCGTTGGGACGCACAATGACCGCAGCCTCCAGTCGGCGGTCATTCACGTCGCGGAGCGCAAGCCCAGAATCGCCCTCTTGACGACCGGACTGAAGCCTGTGTCTCAATTTCCGAATAGTTTCCGAGAAATTAGTTGGCCGATTAGCCACAGTGCTTCTCCAGCCCAGGTGCGTCAGTGGCCGCGGCAATCAGGATCCTGAGCTCAACAAGATCATGGAGCGCCTGACTGCTTCGAGTGGCCCACTTGCTGCAAGTGGGTGGTGGGCGATGCCTCTCCATTGCCCTGTGCGAGACAGAGGATTCTCTTCTACATCGCAGAGGCGAATATGGCTGAGAGGTTGGAGGACATGCAGAAGCGACTTCATGAGCGAGTCCAGGCCATGCCCAAGCATTGTGTGTCAAGCATGCTTCAGCCGCTGAATGTGACCTCCATTCCTGAGGAACTGTCTGTGACAGAGAAGGCCAATTTTGAATCACAGTATCACAAGGCCTTCTCGAAACAGCTTGCCAAAGCAATTCAGTGTGCCAAGCTCCCCAAGGATGTCCGGCTTCCGAAGACGCGGCCTTCGAGCAAGTTCTCCCATGCTTTGACCGCATGGGAATGTGCACAGGTCGATGTCCTCAGCCTTATGTTGGAGCACCAAATTTCCAGCGAAGGCTCCAGTGGCAACGGCAGGCCCAAGCTGGCAGATTATTCTCAGAGCCCCAACCGAGGCACGTTCTTCCCCCAAGGTACTTGTGCCAACGTTTCAACGACCTCTAAGTGGTTCGAGTATGACTCGCAGACTCTCGTTTCGCCCGTCAGCTTCTTTAAGATACATGGCCATCAGATGAAGAAGCTCAAGGGATGTGAGGTGGGACATACCTTCTCGGAAGGAGATATCCGCCGCCTTGCTGGGAACGGGGTGACCTGCGCCATGATGGTGTGTGCATTGACGCCTGTGCTGCTAGAGCTGGGCTATCTCGAACATGTTCCGCCGAGCTCCTAGGTCCTAGATGCTGTGGTCAGCAGTCGGAGCTTCGTAGCCGAGGTTCAAAATTATCTCCTGCAGAGGCTTTGCTTTGCTCATGTCTTCTTCATCGCACGCAGCACGAGTGTTGCCCTTGGGGCCCAACCCACATTTGCTCGCAGATGACTTTGGTTGCCAAGCTTTCGGTTTTGATTAGTTGCCTCGTGAAGCAATGTCCTCCACCGCCCCTCTTGAAGCATATTGGTCCACTTTCACAGGCTTCATGCGTCATGCTCAGGCGTGTGTCGACATCACCACGTTCTTCATTGCAGTGGATCCGGTGTTTAATGCCGTGCTTCATTATCAAAAAGAAATGCAGGCCCAAGGAATCCTCTTTCAGGGACCTAATCATCATATGCTGGCGCAGACCTGTGCTTCGAACGGGGTCCACCCCATGTGTCGGGTGATGTACACAGGCCCAAAGGGGAAGATCGCGTTCAACCCAAAACGTCCATCACCGTCCTTGCCAAGCAAGAATTCTGCCGTGGTGGGACAGATCACGAACCTGTCCCAGCTGAAGTTGCTGGCAGCGTGCGGGGCTGATGTCATAGCAGTGGACATGCGAGAGGTACCTAAAGACCTGGAGGAGTACGTAAAGGGGAACATGCCGGGATACCAATTGGCCTTCGTGCAGCAGTATTGTTACCACAACCTCGGTGTGCCTTTGGGTGCGGAAAGCCATATCCTTGCCTTTAGCCGCCACGTTTCCAAGCAGGGGCGGGAAGGTCTTGTGCAGCTCATGTCCTTGAAGGTGCAGTGCATGGATTTTGGACAGCATGGACCTAGCAAGGAATGGATGGTGCGGGCAACATGCACCGCCGGTTCTGCTCAACCAAGCACTGAGCCAGCAGACGAACAAGGCTAGACTACTGTCCTTTTGTTTATAGACCAGATGAGAGTTATAATAGGATGTCGGCTCCGGGTTTGCTCAGTGTTTAGACGTCCTGTCTGAACCAGGTGAGACAGTTGACCCTGGAGCGAAGAACAAGCGGACCTTCTCTGAATTGGTGGCCAAGGCATGTGAGAGCAGGTGGCTGCCAAGCGATTTGCATGCTGAGAGTGTTCGTGGGAAGATGCAGAAGCTTCTTCAGCATGTCGAGTCTGAAGCAAGCGACCTTCTGAAGGTTCATTTGGCAATCTTGAAGAATCAGTCCAAGAAGCAAAAGTGGGAAAATCATGTCTTAGCGGCCGATGCCAGTAGTTTGCGCTTCAGCCACCACCGCGTGTATGTGGAAGAATTGCCCCCCATCAAGGCGAAGACTGTTGTCCTCACCTACCAGCCAGAACCCCCGAAGGGCAGGCCTAAGGCAAATATTGTGTCGCATCACGAGCTGTTGAATGCACATGGCTATCCATCTGGCACAGTCCATGTACAAATGCTGGGGCAGCAGGGTGCTGGAGTTGCAATGTCGAGCGTAGTTCCAGCTGCAGTGGGTCTGTTCCTGTGTGCAGCCGCTGTGCTTCTGCAGCCGCAAGCCGCGGCCAGCTAGTTCTGTCGAAGGCAAGATCTCAGTCACCTAGCCTTGGCCGGCACGGATGAAAATTCTGATTGTGACAATTCTGTGCCGTGCATTGTTGCTGACTTTATGTGTGCATGATGCCTCCCAGCTTCGTTCCTCGGCCGGGGAAGAATTTAGTCTGGAAATCCTTCGTGGAAAACCGAGCCCTCCCCAGACTTGCCCGTCGACGGGCAAGTCTGGGGAAGGTTGTTTTCTTGTGCGCAACGAGGTTTGTCATGCCAAGTCTGGGGCGCGGGGTCTTGACAAAGTCCACTCCGGCGCTGAAAACCAGCTCCCCCAGACTTGCCCGTTGACGGGCAAGTCTGGGGAGCTTTCCGTTTCCCACAAGATAATCCCAGACTAGAATTATGTGCCGGGGCATTTCTCCATCGAACTGAATCAGGATCTCCTCTGCGAGCGAGCTTCGCTTGCAATAGTGATGGCATCTACCCGTCGTTGTTCTGGTAAGCAGGCGCCCGGACAGAATGCAGGCAAAGCTGCAGTGACTGTGCCCCACCCTGTCAATGACATGATGCTGGAAGCAGCCACGACCGTGAATCTGGAGGCCTGGCAGCCTGCAGTCGTGGCTTGACCCATGCTCATTTATGTTTCCATGATGCACTTGTCAGGCAGGCTTGGGTGACCCGTGCGACATGGGTGGTGTGCTCGCGATCGATGCCACGGCCTACAAGCAAACCTTGAAGAGAGACCGGGAATACACGTGCAACATTACCTTCGACAAGCTCTCTCTTCTGGCTTGGGCGCATCCTTCCATTCCTCCCAACCAAGGCTCTGGACTGCACATTGTTTTGCCCTTGCTTCTTAGTATGCTGTCCTTTTCTGCAGGATCCGTGAAGATCATGCAGCACAGACATTTCACCGAGCCGGACGGAAGCATCAAAGCCCCACCGACGTGGGGTGAGGTGCTGGTGGTCCGGGCAGTGGATGAGTCCCAGCCACCCAGGATTATGGAGGTTCTCAACGGGGATGCCTACCGCCTGGGCCTTTGAATATGTCTGTCCTTGGAATAGGTTCCTTGCTAAACCGTAAAGCTTCAAGCAATCATTCCCTGCGATGCCAAGGGGCAGCTTTCTTGATCAGTTGGGCGGCAGCGCCTGCAGATTCAAAGGTGGCGAGCAGTTTCAATCCTTGGCACGAGCTGTCCGGGTGACTCGTCTGTCTCGCCTCAACTGAATCGCACCTCTGTTCCTTATCCGTGCTAAAGGTCAAGTTCGCTCTTCTGGTGGATGCGGCAATGGTCGAGCGGAAGAAGTGGGAATTGGCCGAAGAAGTAGGCGATGCAGTCGTCACAGTGTTCTAGGACCAAGGGAAATTTATGATTGTGTGGAGCCTTGTGCAACAGGTGATGCCCGAGAGAGCCTCACCTTGCAAGGGTGGAGAAAAATTCTTGGCATGGCCGTTGTGGAGTCCACCTTGAAAGGCATGGGCCGTCCCTCCAATGCGGATGCATTGGAGAAATGGTGCCCTAGCTGCAGCTCGTGGCTTGTGAAACTTGCATTCATACAGTGTCCAGGCAAGAACAGCTCACTTAGGTTCGGAGAGGGCAAGATTCGGGGGATGAGTGCCAAGAACATCTCGAAGTGTTTGAAAATTCACAAGCGGCTTACAGCTGCAGATGCTCGTGCACAAGAGATCATTGCTGAGTTTGATGATCGGTTTGGCAGCAGGCACACGCTAGCATCGCAGCAGAACCTGGACATCCTCGTGACACGCACACATGTGAGTGGCAACGAGGCTGTGTCGAGACAGCTGCTCCTGTGGTGTTTGGAACACTTCGAGAATGATGTTCAGCGTGGTACCGTGAGCTTTGATGCGGCCAAGGCGGCCTTTAACCTGGCTGTGTCCAGGAGCATCTTGAAGAAACGTCTCATTAATTATGTCAGCAAGAGAGTCACCATGCCGGCGAAGCCAACAGACGGTGTCGCTATCCCCACAATCGACAGCATTTTCGGCACCTTTGCGAAATTCCGGAACAGCGGGCTCGATCATGGCAGCACCCTCGTGATGACGTGGAGGGCGTCTATGCCTTCCTACCTGCAGGATACATTCGATTTCCTGACCAAGCTCATGCGTGGAGGAGGCCCCCTTGACGAGAGCCTCGAGACCTTTCTCCAAAAGGATTCCTTGGTTTCAGCCGAACTGGTCTTGAGGGCTCAGTCTATGAAGGATCACTTCGACATCGTGGCTGTCACGCAGGCGGCCAGCCAAACTGCACAAGACGAGAAGGCAGAGTCGGCACCGCCACCCGTTGCTCCACCTTCCCCGCCAAAGCCAGAATCGACAACGGCACTTCCGCCGCCGGAACTGCCTGAAGATCCTGAGGTTTCTGCTGAGGAGTGGCTGTGTAAGCACTCACATTTATATATATATATATATATATATATAAATATATATATATATATATATATATATATATATACATATAAATGTGTGTGTGTCCGAACGAATGCATGCACCAGTGCCAGGACTTGATTGAGGCAGCTGAGCATCCCCAACGGCTCGATCGAAGCATCTACTTTGACTCTTTGCCCTTGTCGTCTGTAGCCAAGGACATTCTGAACAAGGTTCCGGACGACAGTCAGTTTGAGCAAGTGCTGGAAACGGCACGATTGCGCAGCTTGACTCCTATGTGGGATCACATTACATGCTCTGACTCACAGCTTTGCCCATAGGAAGCAGGGTAGTGTGTTGCACAGGTGCCAACACATTCCTGGACTTGCGTGTCTGGCCCACTGACGCGACCAACTTGAGAGCTGCTTTGCAATCCATTCCGGATGCACAGAACAGGGTCTACATCTATGACACCAAGAATGAGACGAAAGACACTGGCCGGGTGGCGAGCTATGCACCGTATCGTCGTCCCCCAGCCCTGGAGAAGAAGAACATCAAGATTATCGGCGAGGCTTTGTGCCTTGACCCTATATAATCGACTGAGCAGTTGAATGCCTTATGAGGGTGTGCAGTCAGTAGTCTGAGGTTTGGGGACCCCGCATTGGCGAAGGACAGCTCCAGAGCTCACCCGGTGATCTTTCGTGCCTGCGACATGTTTGTCTGCATGGATGGCAGATCCCCTTCGAACCAGAAGCAGATCACAGCCGAGCTTGCCCGATGCATGAAGCCACATGCGAGCATGTTCCCCAAGCTGGCCAACGGCTTGATCACAGTCCGCATGCCCTACCACTGTCGGGAATTTGAGGGATCGGGGCGATTGGCGATGTCCAGGCGAACGTGTTTGACCCAAACATGCCCAGACCCGATGGAAACCATGGTTGTCATTCAACCCAAGGCGTACACGATTCCGCAGCGGGCACTGCCGCTTGTCCATAGTGACTCCTATTCCAGAGCTTGGACAGGCCTGGGATTGAGAGACCCGAGCGATATGGAGTTGACGACCATGCTTGATGCAAGCAAGCTCCTGCCGAAGACAGAGAAGCAGAAAGCGGCTGCGGAGGCAACCACCGAGGCTGGCACGGATGATGCCGTGGACAAGGAAGAAGTTCATGCTGTTTCAGACAGTGACGGTGCAGGCAGCCAGGCTTCAGAGTGTGAGCCCGCAAAAGGTGTTCTCTTGTGGCCGTGGGCGTCTTCCGAGGATGCCTGGACAAGCATTTACACGGCGTTCCACCTGGTAAGCCCGTCTCAGACCTGGATCATTGATTTCACAGCAGGGTGTGGCCTTGCAGCTCTCGCGGCCGTGAGGGGTCGCTTTCACTATGTCGGCTTCGCCACATCGGAGGTCCACTTGAAGTTTCTCCGCCAATACGTGATGTTCCGCATCGTCTCCGAAATGGTGTTGAATGTGGATCCACACGCATGGAATATTCGCAAGCGGATTCTGTGCCGTGAGAACAGTTTGACTGGCTCTAGCACTACGGAGTCCAATGCTGAGACTCTTCCGCCAAGGACCTTACTTATCTTGTGAGTATGTCTGCAGATTCAGGTGTAACTTCTGGTGATATAGAACATGGCCAGGACAGATGCTGACGGAGCTGAGAAGAAGGAGGTGGATTCTCCCAAAGGCTCTGCCCATAAAAAGACTAGGAAGAGTAGCAGCACCAGCAGCAGCAGCAGCTCCTCCTGATTTTCAATGGAGTCCGACACTGACCGCCTCCAGTGCGATTTTCAGTCTAAGCTCTCATAAACAAGTTTCCAAACTGCTTCTGGGGTCGCGAGTGTTTCTGCAGAAGCTGCTGGATTTTGGAACCGACACGGTTGCCCTGCAACCACGGTCGATTCTCCATCTGCCGAGCTGAAAAGCGCTAAGTCCGTGCCCGCTTCGCTTATCATGTCTGCCCTGGTTGTTCTGGGCTGTTTTTGTTGCTTGCTGCAGAGTGACCTCTGATTACCTCTCCTTGACCTCTGCCGGACCTCTGCTTGGTTTCCTGGCGCCATGGGGAAATATGTTCGGAATGCGAAATTGGGTGTCAGCCGCCCGAGGAATGCTTACTCGTCCTTTTGCAGCCATGCCAAGCGGCATGGTGTGCATCCAAAAATGAAGACGCGGGTCCGTGGCAAGACCATTTCGTTCGAGCGTGACAGCTGCAGTGCCAAGTGGTCCGGGCCCCAGACTACAGCACAGCTTCAAGGAAGACTTAGTCTAGTAGGTGCAGACAAAAGATGTTCGCTCAGGCAGTCCATGACAGAAGCAGAAAAAGAACCTTTCTATCAAGACGCCGCGAAGCAGAAAGCCTTCAACAAGGCCATGCCGCTTTGTTATTTCACCAGCCTCAGGCAGCCTCCTGTGCAGGAACTTCGAGCAGAGGCACTCGGTCAGGAGAACGACACGGACAAAGAGCCAGAGGTCAGTCTTTGAGCGTCAACGTCAGTTCAGGTTTTCTCTTGCGTTGGTCGTGGGGCCGTCCAGGTCCACGATGATGCAAATCGCTTTGTGGGAGAAGCCCGACCCGAGCCCGTGCAAATGGCTCACATCAGCAACCGCTTGGAGGTCATGGAGGCATTGGGCGAAGGGGGGTATGGCTTGGTGCGCCGGGTGACGGACCGAGCCATGTCTGTCTTGAGATGTGTCTGGTAGTGAACTCAAGCATGGAATCTGATGCTACAAGTTTGACTCTCAGGATACACGGGAGTGTCTTACGCCTGCAAATTCCAACAGCCAGAGGCATCGTGTCCTGAAGCCACGGGGGAGAGCATCATCACAGAGGACGAATATCTTCGCCGAAGTGCCCACCCTCATGTGATCCGTACCTATGGTCTGGTCTCCCGACCCAACAATTCCACGACAGGGGTTGGGCTCCTGATGGAGCTTGCAGAAGGCTGTTTCGTTCACCGTTGCCGCGAGTCCTTGCCGCCTGTCATCAAGTCATGGGGATATGTTCATCAGATACTACAAGGTCTGAGCTACATCCACTCCAACCGCATCTTGCACGTGGACTTGAAGCCAAACAACGTACTGGTCTGCAGGGCGAGTGATGGAAGTGCGATCTTGAAGATTTCGGACTTTGGCATGGCCGTAAAGCTGCCGGGCGACCAGCTTGGAGTCATGCTTCCTGGACGAGAAGTTTGCACACACAACTACAGGCCTCCTGCAGCAATGATTGCTGGCTCCAGCAAGGCCCGGCCACCGTACTATAGCAAGTCTGGACACTGAAATATGCCTGACAGCAGCCTTGTGCAGGTTTGGGTGACGGCATCCACAGATGTATTCGCGATGGGCTGCCTGGCTTTCTTTGCCTTCAGCGGGGGGCATTCCTTGTTGAAGGAGAACTACAAAGAACATGTGCTCGCAGCATCGGCCGCTGGACGTGTACAGAAGATGTTGGATGAAAAGATTGCTTTGAGATCGAAGCAATGCCTGCGCCCAGACCATGAGCATTCACAGCAATCTCAGATAACTTTTGTCTCCAAGTGTGTCCGTGCAACATGCCGGCAGCGAGAGACAGTTCCAGCATTGCTGGTGCGATGCCAATTGGCATTGGAGAATCTCGTGCGGGCGTGATTTGCCGCTGGCTCTACCAGCCGAGCGGCACAGTGTATGCACTCGCAGAGGGGCTGCGAAATCAGAAGCCGTGCTCCCATGCTTGATGTTTTCTTGCAGCCCAAACCATTGCCATTGCAGAGTGCTTGTTGATGTTTTCGCTCAGGCTCGGCCGCCTCTATCCATGGAATCTCGTGGGACGCCTGGGCCCTTCACCCGCGAGGCTTTCCTACTTAAGCAAGTGGGGCAGTCAGGATCGAGGGATGAGAGATGTCGTAAACAGTTATCTTGCAGCAATGCCATGGTCAATGGCACGGATAACTCCGAAGTGAAGGTTGGGCTTGGGGAATGATTCCGCAGCAATGCGATAGTTGGGCTTATAAGGGGTTCCGCAGCAATGCGATACTTGGGTTAAGGGGTTCCGCAGCAATGCGATAGTTGGGTTAAGGGGTTCCGCAGCAATGCGATAGTTGGTCTAAGGGGTTCCGCAACAATGCAATACTTGGGGCTGGGTTGTTCCGCAGCAATGCGATAATCCACTTTCGCAGCAGTGCGATAATTAGCCACAAGAATATTGTAGTCTTTATATGGGTGTAGTGACCGCTACAGTTGCTCTTCAGACAAGTTGCGCCAGGAGCGAAACATTGGCTTCTCTGCCGTGGCCACGCCGGCCAAGTTGTGTGGACCTGTGATTGGGGCCTGTGAAACTCTAACCTCGAAGCCCTAAGCCCTAAGCCCCGCAAACAAATCAAGAACCGCCGAAACCAAATACCCTTTACCAAATCTCAGCTCCTAAACACTAAATAGGCTCCCCGGGTCCTCTTGTACTCTGCAGGGTATATACTCACCTACAGCCCAACGACCCATAGTCTCGCATCACTAAATGCCCGAAATAATCCCAGGTCAGAGAGTTCCATGCTTCATCTGGGTGTTGCCCCGTTGAATTTCGCAGAAGAAGCCTTCCCTTTTTCAGCTCCTTGGGGCTCTTTAGGTTTGGTGCCAGGACAGTTGCAGGGTTACAGGGCGTTGGATAGGGGGTGGTGCGGAGGCCTTCTTCAGAAGAGCGTGATAGGTGTTTAGTTCAGATCAGATCTAGAATCTGTGCACGAAGTCGGCAGGTCCCTATAATAAAAAGCATCATAGAAGATCTTCTGCGAGTGCTGAAGCATGCCATGGAAGCCGAGCAAGAGCGTCTGCTGCAACGATTACGGGATGCAAGACAAGCCTCCCTGCAACCAACACGGCAACACTGCCAGCTGCCTGGCGACCAGCAGGAGAGCGATGAAGAGCATGCAAGGACCTGTGGGAAAGGTCTATCATGCTCCTTGCTTGCACAGCCCTGTGCCTGGCTAGGGGCTTTTCAATTCAATCGCGGAGAGTCTCAGTTCAGTTGTTCATCCAGGCACCCGCTGCTATTTCGCAGCTGGTTTCTTGGGTGGCTTGCGGCGGGGCAGCAAGAAAGTCTGCCCTCTGTTGAAGCAGCATGCCTGGAGCGAGAAGTTCCAGTTCAAGCATGCAGCTACAGGACCGGACTTGCCTAAAAGAAAACCTGACTAGTTGCTTACAGAGCAGTTGTGCTAGGAGAGATGAGAACGTGGCTGACACAGCGTCCGCCTTCGTTCTCTGGCCCTTGGGCGTTTGGGTGCTGGCTCTGTAACTCTTTCAGTGGCAAGCCGCTCGTGCTGCAAGCAGCGTTCCTGAAGTATTGTTATCTCGACAGGCATGTCCAACACAACCCAAGGTCCAAGAGTGCTTTCGCCAACTTGACCGTGACCAGCAAGGACATGCTGCAGAGTTCAGCTTTGATCGACTACGCAGGGGGCCTGCATCACCAGAGGGCCTTGTTACAGGTGGAGGCAACAAAAAATGAGGAAGCCGCTGCATCGTCCTGGGATTCCTGCGCACCATCCTTGAGCCGTTTCTTCATGGCTGCCACCATAGTTGGCAGGCACGACAGCTACAAGGATCGGTCAATCCGGGAGCCGTAGCATTGCAGGGCATGAATAAAACAATTCCTGAGACAGGACTTCCGCCAGTTCTGCAAGTCGCAGGACGTGCAGAGTGACAACAGCACACGTGTGTGCAGACAACTAGTCACTGCGATGAGCACCGTTTGGAGCTCGACCGTGCGGTTATCGCACAGGCAACAGTGGGGTAAAAGTTCCAAGTCAATCAAACCGTACACCCCACCAATAACCCTAACACATACTAAACCATGAACCTCACCCGGAATCCGATTCAAACCTGCCAGTCCAACATGGCCTGCCTCTGCCTCGATGAACGCGATGGGATCGTTCTCGTGCGGGCCCGCTTCTTTTACAGAGGCCAGCAAGTGACGTGACAGGACATGTGCAGACACTGCCTGCGGATGTTTGCTTTGCTTTGGCAGGCTTGAAAGGCACCAGTCTCCCTCGCATGGGCGTCTACCAGTGTTTGCTGGGCATAGCTCGTGATTTCGGCCCCAGCCCTGTGCCCTGGCTCGGATTATACCTCTGATTACCTCTCCTCGACCTCTCTTAGACCTCTCCTGGTTTTAGACAGTCTTGTGAGATTCTCCGAGGATAATGTCAAAGCAGCTGTGGATGCCGTGCTGAAGGCGGCCGCGACAGTGAAGCGTGGCATGCGTGAGAAGGACGGCCAATCTGGAGCCCAAGATGTTGTGGACAAGGAATTGCACCATCATCTGAAGGACAAGGGTTGGAAAAGAGCTTCATTTAATTTAATGACATAACAGAATAGAATGTCTGTGATTTGTCCCCTGCAGAACATCATAACTTGTGCGGTCGCAGATGGGGGCCCGGCAGAGCAAACGGCGCTATCCAAAATGTCTGACTTGTTGCCTCGTCTTCAACACGTTGTCGTCGACAGGGCACATCGCATGCGAAACTTGCAAAGGGGAGCCTGGCCTTTTTTGGATGAGCTGTCAGGTGGGCTTCTGCAGCTTCTAATCACAGGCGAGGCCAGTCTGGCTCGCATGTTGGAGGATTCAGGCAAGTACCGAATCTTATGGGCGGAATCGCAACAAAAGGAGTTCAGTCAGGCACTCCGGAACTTCAGCTATGCAAAGCAGAGGTTCAACAGCTTGAGCATGCCATTGTTCAAGCGTCTCAGCAGCTTGAAATCCGTATATGCTTTCCTGGTGCAGCTGGCTGCAGAAGGCGATCGTGACGACCGGCGTTTTGCAGAGACTTTGTTGACAGAGCTGTCTGGCCGAAGTGCATTTCAGCACTTGGTAAATGCCGCTCTGGCAGCCGATTCGATGTTGATTGGCCAGCGCTTCTTGCGGCTCGCGGACACTGACAATGACGAGGCCTGTGTCACGGCACAGCAGGCAGGCCCCGGCTAAATTGACACTTCTGCTAGCCGAGTCCAAGCCTATGAATGCACACCTTTAAGTGCCAACAGCGAATTGAACACAGCACAAATCCCAGCAGGCAGCGGAGACGATCCACACGATGGAACACATGTTTGACAAAGGCGGCGTATTCTTGCCGAGTGCAGCAGCTACTGTTACACAAACCGTGATCCGCACCCTCCAAGATATCGGTATCACAACTTTTCTTGGGAATCGTACCACTGGTAGCCGGGGCCCTCGCCCACTCAGGGCGGTAGCTGTTTGGGATGTCTCCGAAGGCGACCTCACGATATCTCGACAAGTGGCTAAGAAGGTGTACAGAATCTACAAGGCCTTTTTTGATTCAAATTTTCCTCGCCATGAATATAGCAATGCTTTTGCTGCTATGGACTTGGAAAATGATCTGACGCTGTCCCAGCGGGGAGAACTGGTGCAGTCTATTGCCCAACAGAACCAAATGGACGGTGCGAAAACCTGGTGAGCCCATGCATTAGAAGGCACTTTGTTTGGTGGTAGCTTTAAGTCTTGTATGAAGTTGTTTGTTCTTCTGATTTTGTCTTCCAGCCCACATTTCCAGGAAGCAGCTGAGCGGCGGAGGTAGCGATGACGGGCTTGGTGCTGGCGGCCTGCTCGCCAGAGCGTTCTGGCATCTGAAGGAACAGCGTCAGGGCTCCAACAATGCCTGGTTGGCCACACTTCGAGAGCTTCGGAAGGAGCAGGCCGCGGTGCGCTTGGAGGCATGCTGGCTGGTGCAACACACTTTGACGATTGGAACGTCCACGGCATCAGTCGAACGGAATCTGCACGAAGTTTCTGTCACAGAGTTGAAAAACAGAGCTCACAGATTGCACATCTACGCTCTTCAAGACGCTGTGAAGTTGAGTGTGCATGGGTGCGCTTCTGCTGACAGTCTTCGGGACGGCAGGGATGCTAGTGGCAACTGGAAGCCTTCCAAGTTTGCTTTGCAGGCACAGGCTGTATATAAAGAGTTTTTCGGTGCACGCGAAACTGAGCAGCGAAGAAGTGGAGCTTCGGGATCGGACAAGCCACGCCTGGCTGGACTTCGTGAGGCAAACCCAGAATCAGTACGGGCCAAACTGCAGGCACACTCCAGGTGCATCTCGTCAACGGTTGCTGGCATGCAGAAGGAAACTTTGCAAGATGGGCCCAGGGCATCTTCAAGCAATCGACGGTTGGATGAGATTGTCATTGCTGTGAGCGAGGTTACTGCTGTCAGAAGTGGTGTTTCTTCAGCGGCATCTTCTGCTTGCCCTCCGAATCCGCCTTGCAGCAGTGGCAGTGCACCAGTGGACAAATGCGAGGAGGAGAACAAGCGGGAGAAGACGAAGGACAAAAAGGAGAAGAAGGGCAAGAAAGACAAGAAAGACAAGAAAGACAAGAACGACAAGAAACACAAAAAGAACAAAAAGGACAAGAAACACAAAAAGGAGAAGAAAGACAAGAAGAATGCGACCGACCCTGCATCCTCCCACAAGAAATCGTTGGAAGAGATAGAGGCCGAGCAGGACATGGTTGCAGCGAAGAAGCGGAAGGTGGCGATGGCAACCCGCTTGGGCGAGAAGGTGCCTCATGTCGACGTGCGCGGCGGGGTTTTTTTGCAATCCATCGACAAGCAACTGGAGTCGTGCAAGAAGAGTACCGAGCGGGCACCACCTCTGGGCAACAAGGTCAAGGTGCTGATGGCGAATGGTGCCCTGAATGATTATTCTTTATTATTTTCCGGTTTGATAGAAAGGGGTTTGAGGATCGAACCGCTGCATGATTCAAGACGGGTTGAATTCGAATTCTCATTGTAACCCATACACTAAATAATCTTTAAAAAAACAAGACAGTTTCAGGACTCTCCTGGCCCGATGAGAAACCAGCGGCAAGGTTTCGTCAGACCACAGATTGGTGGGAAGCGAATGTCGTGGTGTTCCGCGAGTTGGGGCCTGGATTGGCAACGCCTGAGGGACTTGTGGCTCGCATGCGAGGTATCCGGATTGCCGATCAACCGTGGTTCATGTCCAATGGCCTCAAAGGATCTTCAATCTCGTTTCAGGCTGCAGCTTTCTTGCACCTTCATGTCTGGTTGACTTCCGAGTTTGAAGCGGCATGGCCCAGGCACTCAGCTTTGTTATCTGCCTTCGCTGAGCGAAGCAGTGGCAAGTCTAAGCGAGGCCACTTACACGTATACAAGGGGGCAATGCCTGACGATCCCGAGTTCCCACGTCTTAGCTTTGAAGCCATTGTGCAGCCAGCAACCACTTTGAACCCCCAGCAGCTAACGCTGGAAGGGCTGCTTACGAAGCTTTCTGTCCTCCACAGTGATTGATGCCTCGTAGGTTTTCATCAGCCTCTTATACATATTCCAAACCTTAAATCCTACCCGTGCATCAAGAGCTGATTGCTTGAGAGTTTGGGAGCCGTGAAAATGGAGGGTCCGAGCCAAGTGGCGACAAATCCGAAGCCGCAAACCCTAAAACCCCTACACCCTCAACCGCTGCCTGCCAGGTTGGACAACCACTGGCCGCGTGTGGGCGGCAGCAGCTTCTACCCTAAGCCCTACAACCTTAACTATATACACATTTCACTAAATTGTGAAAACCATGCATCCGGTGGTGGCGGGGTTATATAGTAGCAATGTCGCAAAAAAGTTCTTTTTTGCACAGCTGCCCAGAGCCGTGAAGTTAATGCTAATACTAAGAGTAATACTAATTCGAATACTATTACTCATACTAAACATCCTAATATCAATACTACCACAAATCTAATACTAATGCTAACACTGATACAAGAATTAAGATCTACAAACAGTAATAGTGGTACGAAGAGCAGAATTGAGATTAAGATTGGGACTAGGAGCGCTGCATGCGTGTGAAGAAATTTCCAAAAATTGCAAACCATCTAAAAGAACATTTTGGAATTGAGTTTGGGAGAAGTGTCTGTCGCCTATCCGTTGACAGATCCTGCCTGGGGACGCACGCCACCCTTCCCCTTCCCCACGACGGTCTGTCATGGGGGGGGGGTGAGCATATATATATATATATATATATGTATATATATGTATATATATGTATATATATGTATATATATGTATATATATGTATATATATGTATATATATGTATATATATGTATATATATGTATATATATATATATATGTATATATGTATATATGTATATATGTATATATGTATATATGTATATATGTATATATGTATATATGTATATATATATATATATATATATATATATGCATATGGAGGTATATGTGTGTGCGTATATATATATATATATATAGAAAATTACATATACAATACATATACACATGCTAGTATCGTATACCCAAAACCGTGAGGCCTGAGAGCTTGAGGTTCGGACCCAACTTGTCGGGTATGACAGCGACCGTCAGTCTTCGAGACAAGCCCTAAACCCCAAATGCTGCTGCATGTACGTGACTGATCGGAAACCCCGAAAATCCTTGTGGAAGTCTTTTTTGGACTACCCTAGGCCCTCGGTGCGGTTTAGGGTTTGTCGGCTTTTGAGGTTTCATGTGTTAGGGCGTTAGGGCCGTTAGGGCTTAGGTTCTTCAGATCCTTAATTTGGAGGAGGAAGGTTAGGGTCTGGGGTGTTAGTAACGGTGTTAGGGTTTTAAACTCGAGGATGTTCGGTGGTTTTTGTCGCTATACGGTGTTTCGGTTTTATGGGATGTCTTGGGGAAGAAGGAATGCCTGAACCTTGCTTAAACCGACCTCGCGATGCTAAGTCCCCAAAACCCTCAGCAGTGGAGGAGTGAACTCGGCCTTCTCCCAGGGCGCGCCGATCTTGTTCGCAGAGGTGGCTTCGGTCAAGGGGTCTCAGGGCTCAGGGTTTTCTCGTGTGGGTCATCATTTTTTACCATGACAACGCACGTCGGCACCATAAACCTCAGTCTGCTATCAGCTTCGGCACAAGCGCGAGCGCGATTCAGTGACGCCAGGCATGTAGTGGACCGGATGTACCGGACCGGGGAAATTTCGGATGCCGATGTCCTCAGTGTATGGGGGCCCAAGATGTTGCACACGTTGGCACAGATGCGGTGGCTACGCCGAAAGGAGCAGGAAATGCCGAGGACAGGTTCCAGGAAGGACCCAGACGGCGGTGAGGGGACGACAGTGACTAGTGATAGGTCTTGCTGCGGTGCAAGACAGGCCGGGAGTGGCAAGGTTGTGTGGAACATGGTCGTGTTACTGCAGTGTTGATATAGCTTCCAGCTACCTGCAGCTTGCCGAGTGATGAGCCATGTGTGGCTGAACTATAGGTGGGGTCTTGGTTGTTTCAGAGCTTCAATTACACTAACGCGTATTGGCCTGCTCTTTGTGCACGGGAGCTGATAAGCCGTACACTGAAGCATCCCTTATGCAGTACAGTCTTGCGCATGAGTAGTTGTCTGAGGGAAGTTCCTTGTGAGGTGTTGCGGTGAGTCGATAATGTCGCTGTCGATGTGGGTCATTTGGGGATTTAGTGGTGTGGTGGTGAATCCCCTCAGTACCAGCCTCATGTTCATTGCCTCGGTCTGACAGACTTTCCAACTAACACATGGTGGCAGGAGGAAACGGGGCGAGTAAAACAAAACTGCCAGCTGTATCTGAAACCGGGAGCCAGCTCGGAAGTCAGAAGAACTAAAGAGCAACGCAACAAGAGACTGGTGGCTTGACTAGGTTTGATGCGGAACACGGTGCAACTAGAAGCTTCCTTTTGGCGGCCTATGTTGGTTGGAATTGAAATAAAGTAAATCCCACAAATTTGGAGCATGGGTTTTAGGCTTAGTGCTGGCCCAAAAACTGGCCGTTCCCTACTACTCCTAAATAAAAACTCCCCGCAAACCATAAAAACTAAGATAATCATGTTAAGTAGTGCCCTTTGCCCGTTCCTTACCTACTCCTAAATAAATATTCCCCGCAAGCCATAGAAAGGAAAACAATCATGTTAAATGTTGCTTGTTGCCGGTTCCCCAGTACTCTTGCACAGAACTTGCCCACAAGCAATGGAAAGTAAGATAATCATGTTAAGTATTGCTTCGAACCCGTTCCCTACTCCTCGTAAATAAAGCTGGTCCAGAAGCCATACAAAGCAACATGACCATGTTAAGTATTGCCTACTGCCCGTTCCGTACTACTCGTAAATAGAACCTGCGGAGAAGCCAGAAAGTATTTCCTACAGCCCGTTCCTTACTAGACTGAAGCTTTCAATCCGTTGTATGCCAAGTAGATTTGCACACAAACCTGCAAACCCAGAAATGTGTATGTAAAAATGAATAGTTTCGGCTCTTGCGCAACAGCGACTTTTCCCAGAACTCGTATTAAAAAGACCCAAGGAAAAAGCAAATTCCAACCCTTGAAAGTCGCACAGCGCTTGACGCACGTGTGACCTAGTTGCAAGCCCAAACGGCATCCCCGTTCCGGGTTGACAGCCGGCGGGATTCTTTATGGTTTACCTTACGGCCTGAGGATAATGGTGTTCCAACTTTTTGGTTTATACTTCATGCTGTGGGGGTCCCTGTGACAGCTTGTCCATGCAATTCTGATGCAAACGCGTCCCCGCGCTTGTGGCTACATATCAACAGCTCTGAAATCAGCTTCCCGTTTCATGTCCTGTAATGATGCAGTGCTGTGCTTTGCCTCCATTTGTTGTCGAACGGACTGCCCAAGGAACTGCTTGCCGTTCCCTTCGCAGGTTTTGCAAGCTTCGTTGCCGCAGTTCGTCAATCGAGTGAAGGACAGGGTTAGAGCTATCAGTATGCGATGTGTATCAGTATCATGGTGGCCAGGGCAGTTTACGCGCATACCCCTTTTCGGAAACTCGCCAACGAAGATCGTCCCGCTGCATCAGGCATGCCCTGAACCATAAACCATGAACCCTCCAACCCTGAGTAAACAGCACCACAACCCAATGCCTAAATCCTTCACTATGGGTTCCTTTCCTAAGATACCACGGACATGCCCCCCCTCGAAGGAGCTGGGCTTTGCAGAGTGCACCCACGAGGCTTTGCGTTGCCGAGAGCGTAAGTTGCCTACATCAACGGCGCAACAAACTTCACGCCCTAGATCTGCGGCCGTGAATCCCAAGTCCGGGTTGAAGGCGTGTTGTGCAACTCATGCAAGCTTTGGCCAGGCGGGCACCTGGAAGGTGGCTGTGCGTTGGCCACGGCCGGATGACGACGCACCAGCGGCCCAATGCCTCATAAGGGTCACGGCTTTGAGGTTTGGGTTGTTCGAATCTGAGCTTTGACCTAAAATTCAGGATTTGGCGTTTGATGTTACGGGATTGGAGCTTATGGATCATCTCAGCTCGTGAAAGTAGACATGCGGAAGGCCTCTTTCTGAACTCCTTCTTGCGACCCTCGAACATTCGGTCGGAACATTTCAGAACTTGGGACCTCAATCCGCTTGTGGCGGATGTATTCGGATGCTGCGATCATGCTCTTTATGAGGGCTGTTCAGCTTCCTTTTGTTTTGACAGCGCAAGTGCTTAAGCATTTGCCTTCGTCCTAATGGTCCTTCATCATCCCGCTTGTAGTCCCGCAAAAAAACCCATCGCAGGTCCCTCTGCCTAGAAACTCTTGTCGGTTGGAGTTCAAGGCTTACGAGTTAGGCTTCAATAAAGGAGTCTGATATAGACCGTGAGAAGAGGACACCCCGAAAGGAAACCTCAATGTTCAGAATCCGACATGTCGGGTTCATTGTTCAAGATCCTCGGCCTTTGCTTGACGGAAGGAAGGGTTTGGGAGCCCAGGAGAAGAAGAAAAAGCGGCGCAAAGACTGAGCCCTCCAACAGAAGCCGCCGCTATCCAGACACCTAGGGCCTAGGGTGAGGCCTGAGCGTTCCCAGGGTGAAGGGGCTTCGGTTATAAGGATTCACGGCTGGGGTTTAGTACGTACTGCCGACGGTAGTATCAAGATGACCCGGCAGGTGCTTCCTCGCCACGAAAGGGTTTTTCAAATTAGTTGGGACAGACGCGGGCAGGTTGGTCGAGATACTCGTGTAGGGCATAATGCCTTGGCACATTCCCTAAATCCTAGACCTTGAAATCACGACGTCAACAGCCGATGAGGTTTGCATCCCTAGATGCCTAGATGGAAAGCGTGCTTCAACGCGCCGAGCATTTTGGAGCCAGCTCAGGAGCTGTCGAAGGGGTGTCGCGAAAAAGTCCCTTTATCGAAAACGTGTGCCCGCACGGGCACAGTCCCTACATTATAAAATTCGGTCATGGCAATAGTATGGTGCACCCCGGAACCTCCTTACATGCATGATGACCCTTTCGCTCTGAAATCAGCAGTCGATATCAAAACC